ATTAGGCCTGAAGTGGCTTAGAAGGCAGACGTGCCTTAAGCTTAGCACTTCTCTCAGGTAGACGCCTCAKTGCCTGAAGATCCTGCCCAAGGCCACAGTATCAGTGGGAACTTCAGAATAAACCGCTATTCAATTGTAATGATTAAATCTACATTTGCTTTTCATGCTCACGTTTGTTCCAAATAAAGAGCCAAAATGTGTCCAGTGATGAAACTGATCACTCAAGAATTAGAGCTTCTACCTTTCACTAAATACGTATTTTGAAGTGCATGTTACAACTAATGTCCACAGCTATTTTTTATTGATGGACAGACTGGTATCGCGTCTCCTAGGAGCAAGAGATGGAAACACAGAATATATCAGAGAACAGAGAATTCTTTTGATCGCAGGAAACAATTCCTGGGTGTATATGAAAACAAAGAAGCAGAAGCATCTTTTCCTTTAAAGTACTTCATGTATTTGTATCCTTCTGTATGATTTTTTTCTTTAAAGTCAATTAAATGGAGGTACCATGTAAGGGTCAGTCAAATCAGAGATTATTGCACAGTGTCAGTAAAAACTGTATGACTTAGCTGATTATACAGGCAATCAATAAATACACAATACAAAGGTGCCTATATGGAAGCTAATCGATCTATTGCCACTGAAGTGCTGATATCGAATTTGTACAGTTAGCCTGAGGGGAAAAAGGAAACATTCAATGTGAAAAATTTAGTCTTCTAAAATATTAGGAAAACAATGGCAAAAGTAGTGAAACAACATGGTCATAAAACTAAAATATTCTGTGGTCATTAAGGCTAGACAATTCCGCTATTAAGTTCAACCCCCTCCAATTTCTCTCAGAACTAAGGATTTTATTCTCACAATTAGGAACAGAACAAAAACATGATAACCTTCAGTGAAACATTTATGCAAAGAAAGCTGCAAACTAAAGCCCTTTCAGAAGTCTTAATTTACCCCCACTCCAGACTCTCAAAGTGTAGCACAGAGACCTGGCAGCACCCACCCAGCGCCCACACACGGCAGCACCGATGGGAGATGCTGTTAGGAAGCCCCCATCCACTGTTGGTCCATGCGSAGCCAATTGAAAGTATTTGTTCTAACGATACCTATGGACACAGTGCTTAGAAAGTCCTTTTGCAAAAAATATATAAATGAGGGAGCCTGCTTTACCGGGGGTGCAGAACTGGCAGCAGCCCAGCACTACTGGGGCAATTGCTTGGGCACAGGAGGTGCAGCACATCTATAGGGGGGACTTGGCAGGGCACGTAAGGCGTTACACATCTATAGGGAGGGCTTGGCAGGGCACAGGCAGGACAGCCCTTCTGCTGCAGTTTTTTTGCTGGGTGGCTTTCACAGAAACCTCTGGGTGCACAAGGAGAATAAATGTGTGTCGCCTGAAGAAGCGCGCCTGAAAAATCAGCATTCTGATATGGAGGGATGCCTCAAATAGATGTGCTGCAGGTTAACTCTTCATTCAGGCATTTTAAAATATTTTCAAAATGTCTCGTGTTTCCAAGGGCATCAGGAAAGAGACATTTTACTGGAGCTTTCTGAAGTCAAGTGCATTCAGTGAGCAAAGATTGTAAGTGCAGAAGTGAGACCAAACCCTCCAAGAGCAGCACGTCCTGGTCAGAGCCAGCAGTTCTGGTTAAAGGTAAAGCAGTAAAGAACAAGAGAAAATTTTGCTGATAACTCACATACCACTTATGGAAATGTCAGATCGACACCCCTCGTACTACGCTGGCTAATTCTTTTTGGTAATGTTTTAGGTTTCAAGTTTTATATCTAGATTTGACAAATGGTCTCTGTAGAGAACATGTTTGTCAGCAAACTGCCATCACATGTCATGTCACGCACACACAGAGCACAGGCACCACCTCGTAACACTGATGAACGCGCCAGCAGCCAAACTCCAGCGCCAGACRGAGCTGCTCTGTTCAATGTTCCTGCTACCAGACATGAGAATTTAGTTCTTAAAAGGACATATGCAAAACAGTGATCAAAATTTTATCTTTTCTATAGCTTTCTCCCCATCCCCTTCTCCCTTCCCTCCTCATCCCCACAAGTGCTTTTAAGCTTTATTATTACAGATAAAAGCCGGATCCATCAGCTGAAATACGCAGCCCCCGGCAGCATCACCTGCACAGACATGACAATCCCAGCACAAGCGGATGGTGTTCACACCATCACACAGAGCTCCATTGGACAAGCAGGCAAGAAAACACCTTAACTGTGCAAATATGACTGTTTGTTAGTGCATCCCGTCCACCTCGACAGGAACTGAGGATCTAGGAGGCTGCCAGTTTTCCTTTCCGCAGCGGCTGTGCACGTTCCCTGCACTAACCCCACTGCTTGACACGCAACGTTTCCCCTTTCCCATCCGTAGCTCATACATACGCACTCCCCCTCTCTCTCACACGTCACTGTACACATTTCTTAAAGCACTCTATTTCATTAAAACACCCAAGGTAACACAACTGACATGAGTATGACAAATTATTAAAATAAAACTAAAGAGTTTTTTTTTTTCCTTCCCCTAACCAAAGACATGAATCCCCTAAAACGCAGCTGCGGGTGCTCAAGAGCAGGCAGGACAAGCAGGTATTTGTGGCGAGGAAACCTCCATCCCGAAATTTTGCCTCGAAGATGTTAAGCCCTTTTACCATTAACTTCACATCAAATGAAAGTAATAAGATGACTGGCAAATAAAGAATAGCTGGAGCAGAGCTGCCACTTTGAGTAACCCAGTTTCCACTTAAGCAGGGAGCTGGCCGTAGGCTTTGAGAATTTGTCACTACCACGTACACTCGCTGACAGGAAATGCAGATGAGATAAGCTTATTTTGAACAACATTTTACTCCCTTGACCACTAAAAAACATTTACATAGCATTATGGACATCTCTACTATTATTATTATTAAAGGGAGGACACAAACTTATAAAAGAGTATTTATATAGAAGGTAGACAGCTATTTTCAGCATTACCTACAAGTAATGGAAATGCCCCTTTTTAGAACTACCATGCAGCAAGGTGGCAGCAACAAAATTTTCACAACGAGCCAACTCTGATCAAGCGAACAGAGCAATCGTGCTACTTCTCCAATTAACAAGCAGGAACGTAAGAACTTAGCTTGTCCACACGGAGTCATGGAGTGGGCACCTTGCGAAGGTGCTACACACACGAAGGGCAATTTTTAACAGCTCCAACAGTGGCAAATGTTTTAAGGGACTTTTTTGTAAGGAAGGCAGGAGATTTGGAAGCACTGGTTTCCAAATTTCAGTGCAGCTCACATCACCTCTCATGCRACTTGGCATAATGCTTTTTTAAAACCTTCATGCTCAAAATTCAAGATTATTTCCTATAGCTTAAAACTAAGCAAACTGATTTTATCAACTCTATTGTATATCACTTATCTCAAAGTGATTTTCAAAAAGTGTACAGTTATGAAATTAGGATTTATGCTGAATTTGTGTGCTGATGTATGCTGAATTTATGAAATTAAAAAAAAAAAGATGATCCTCCCAAGTCTAAAAAAATATTAGAAAGGTTACTGAAATTAGACCGCAGATTATGCGGGATTTTCTCACCATATGGATCTCATTTACCAATTTTATATATATATATATATATATATATATATATAAAAAGCTAAAACTCAGATCTAATTTATGGCCAACTTTAAAATACTCCTTTAAAAGAATATAATAGTATAGGTGTTAGTTTTCAGGTTTATCCTATTAATCATTGAATCACAGATGTGAAATAGAAGGGAAAGCACAATTTGCTTTAGCATCTATACCCAGACACTGCCAAACCACCTAACGAATCTACTGAATGGGGGAAAAAAAAACGTCAAGAAGTGAGTAAATAGGAAGGACAGACAAACAAGGGAGGTGAAGCTGAAGTCGCGTGAAAGGGGTGACAAAGGCAATCACTGAAAAAGAATGGTGAGAAGCACTTCGGGTCAACCCCGATTTCACAATTTCCTGTTTGCGCAGCAAATTCTCTCAGACATGCATGTCCAGGTGACTTTCGTCTGTCTTGAGCATGTGCACAAATAGCAGTTGTCAGTCGGTCACCATATAATGCAAATTTTAACCAACAGTTAGGAGGAGATATGAGATTGAACAAAAAAAAAGGCAAAAAAAAAAAATCTACATGACAGATGCAAAAAGCAGCTGCCTACAAAAGGACAAGCCCTCRGTGTGGTGGTTACTGGAGGTCACAGATGGGAGCAGGAGCACGGAGGCTCTGCAGRGGCTCCCAATCCCCCACCTGCCTTCTGCCTTCGTGCACGTCCCACGCAGACCCAGCAGCTAAGGCGCTTCCATCGACAGCAGACTAACCTTGCACAACGGTTACAGGGCAGCACAAAGCACTGCTCCCATATAAAAGATGCCACACACCCCAATTATCTGTGCATATGGTGATTCTAAACRCACAGATGATATCAAACAATCCAGAAAAAAAGTGCCTTTAGAGCACAGCTTAGCTGCAGTAAGGGGAAAAACCTGGCAAGTGTTTTGTTTCAGCAAGCAGTTTGCACAAACAAAAAACCTGCAGTCCTCAGTTTTCTGCTGCAAATCTGAAATGACACCAGATCACGTCCCTGGTAATTACAAGCCATGTTAGATTTGTCAGCTTTGGCACAAGAAGCTGGTCGCTACTACTCTGACTAAACTGATGCACGACCAAACAACAACTTACTGCAAGGAGAAGACATCCCACATCGTCAGCTCTGTGTAAGCTCATAAAAACTGGCCAAAATGGATCCAAGGTCCTTGGCCAAGCAAGGGGGGCTGTTAGCTCGCATGCTGACACCASTGAATTTCTCCACAGCTGGATTATGAAAATGAAGCCATTCATTTGTGTTCACAGACTGTGCACTGGGCAAGGGAGTTGGCAGTGGCCCCTTTCACTCTATCCAGCGACTCTGACACTTTTCAGGATGAATTAATTCTGTTAACACTATATGAAAGGAAGAAGAAACACTTACTAGTACAGAACTTCATTTGCTTCGTGTCTTTCGTATCTAACAGTTTCACACATGAGTCTGAAAGAGAAGGAAAGAAGTCATTTTTAATCATGATTCATCTCATTGTCAAGTTAGTCATCATTTTCACATTTGCCTCCAGCATTCACACAAACTACCATCAATTTAAAGCTAAGCTGATTCTTAATTTAAGGAAAAAAACTGTTAAGCCTGAGTATTATAGTTATTAGCTTATCCTGTAGGAGATCTGATTTAGGCGCTTGGATGTAATTACTTCCATTAAAAAAAGCAATCTATAAAAAGAGTAAAAGGATATTGATCTCATTTTTTATAGCGGTCTGGTAAAACAAGTTGCTTTATTATGGAACAATTCACAATTCTAGAACTGGATGCAAGCTTACAACATGCAACACTGATCAGAGACACATGATATAAGCAATACTCCCCTTGCCACRTCAGGCCCAATAGATAAAACAGGGGATGCTGTTGCAGGGACTGAAGCGAGGAGCTGCACGTGAAGCTGGGGAAGAAGCCCCGACTCCTTGCAGGGCTTCTCATGAGAGCCCCAAGGTGTTGGCGGCCGGGGCCGGCTCCAGAGGTGTCAGGAAGGAAGCAAAGGGCTGTGCTAAGGAGCAGAGCTGACCTGGGGCCTCAAGCAGCCGCTCGGAGCCTGCTGGGGACGCTAAGGACCGGGCCCTGCCGCTCCCTGGCCCACGCCGGGAGCTCCTCGGGAACTGCCTTCACGCCCGCCCTGGAATGGGGCTGCAGGCTGGCTCGGTCCTGCAGGGAACAACACGCCGGCTCTGAGCAGCGGGGGCCTACGGACAACCCACCCCTGCCCGCTGACACAAAATTCGGAGCTGCTCATCTGCTTGCTCAGGAATCAGCTCTGTTATCACGGCCTTCCCTTCCCCATCCAGCACCGAGGCAGCCATTTCTGAGCACTTTCCTGATGGGCCACTTCCATATAAAACCTTCACCAACTAAAGGACGTTTTGCTACCCTGMACAGCAAGCCACCTTCTGAACCCCACAATTCCTCAATTTGAGGCAACGTTCACCAGCAGAGGGTCAAGTCTTGCCAAGAGTCTTTACAGGCCAGGAAAGGCTACTGTATTACTGCAAACCCTACAATCCTCACGCTCTCTTCCCAGTCCTCTGTTCTGGGAGAGAATTTGAGTGTAGACATGAGGATACTGGTAACAACACTATCAAAGTCACTAGAAAAAAATTAAAAATCACAAGTCTTTGCTAGAAATGAGTTTTAAAAATGAAAATATCATTCAGGGAACATGTGGGATAGTCTATACCCCATTGGTGAAAAAAGATTCTGGGCATCAGGCCATCTAGGAGTAGGGGTTATAGGAAACACAAGCACTTATTTCACAAGCCAGTTTTGTTCCCCTGTGAGTTTGAGCAAAGGAAATGCATTCCTCATTCCATCAAGCAAGTTCGCCATTCCACCCTGGCACCGCGTGAGAGTTTCATGGTGTTTTGATACGAATGGAGAGTAATAAATAGCAGGAAAAGCCTCTCCTGGAGGAGAGAGCCAAGTATTTCAATCCTATATTAAACTGCAACTTAAACTTACTGAACAGTAGAAACTCTATTACTTCTTTAAATGCTTAGAAAACATCATCAGCTTTGGCCTGTTCAAGTGTTTATTTTTCACTAGAATATGATCTTTGTCCAAGAGATCCTAAACAAATCCAGAAGAGATCCTAAAGCAGACCCTAGGGACAAGGTTTAGCAGACACCGTGACGAGGAGTTCAGTCGGACTTGACAATCTTAAAGGTCTTTTCCAACCATAATGACTCTATGRTACTATGAAATGTAATAAATTCAAGATTATATCAGCAGCAGTTGTTCACTAATAAGGGCTATATTTAACACACTGTTTCTAATGCATCCCAGAGGGGTTTTTGGCATCTCGCTGCCACAAGAAATGCTGTATCCTGAATAACTCTACGAAAACTTTCTCCCACAGTTGCAAAGGGAATGCAGCATTTCCCATGTATGGTGCTGTAAACAGAAGCTCTCTTCGAGGAATTCACTGTGSTGGGAGAGCTGCACGAGTTCCACACATTCCTCAGCAAGAATCTCATTCTGGACAGGAAGCCAGAAACCACAGATCAACAGAGCGCGCAACCATATGGGCAAACTTTGATCCTTGCTAGCAAGTTAAAAGTCGCTTCCATTCCAGCCAGGCAGAGCTGGATGTAGTAAAAGTCTTGCATATGAGAGGGTAAGAGAAAACACTAGCAGGGTATTAACCGTGGCCTCCTTCCAAAGCAGACGTAATTAAGCGGTTCTTAAGTCAACAGTCACATTGCAAAATATGTCTCAAGCACTTCCAGAAGAGAGAGGGGGAAAAAAATCTTATTTTTTCAAAATTGCCAAATAGCGGCTTGTGAATGACAAAGCAAGAGTCACTCTCTCACTTTAAGAGCAAGTCTAACCTTAGGCAGCACTTTTCAAGTCCCAGCCAGCTAGTCAGCTCTTTCAGTCTTCGGCATTAATTTCGTGGCAAACCCTGGCAAGCCCCAGGACCCAAAACTACAGCAATTAAGCCCATTTCCTTGCGAGACTTGCCTCTTGCATCGCCCAGCCCCACACTGGCCTCCTATCACTACAAACGTGAGATTTCTGGTGGTCAGGTGTTTGTGTGAGGGTGACTGCAACAGTGCCTTGAAACCAAACATGGGCACATCTTGAAAACAGAGAAAGTTCACAGGCTTTTACTTGAATTTCTTTCCTTGAATTTTAAGCCACGGAAACATCATGGCTTAAACCAGTGTTAAGGCATACAACTTCAAATCACCACTTCTTTTTTTGACAGCTAAAAAGTTATTCCTGGTAGAAATTGTATTTTACAGACGGGGGGGTGGGGTGGAGCAACATCCTTAACATCCTTATAGTCATTTTAACTCATTTTAGCTTCCTAATAATTTTATCRTATGTCTGCTGTCTGTCAGGACCACATCTTCACCCACCACCTTTGCTGTGAAGTCTCTCTATTTCAGCTGTCATTGGGCATTAAAGTCTGCTAAATAACTTTCTAATCAACTTAAACTGAAGATTATGCCATGAATTATGTATCACTTGGACAGAGAAGTGATGAAAAGATGTGCAAAAACTGCTCCTGCAGCAGCTGGAGAATTCTGAATTTTGGTAGCAGCTTTTGGTAATTTGCTTTGTCAAAACAAATTGTACTTGTCCTATGCCCAACTCCATCCTCCCCATTTCAGGCAGAAAATTAGCCCCTTTACTTCTTCATAGCGCTCCCCACAAGACCCTCAAGACTRCTGGATCTTTCTGTTACAATTGCTTGTCTCTATTCAAACCTTCCTCAGTATGAAAACACTTAACAGAGGAATAGCCACAGAAGAGGGTTTGTCAGAAATTAGTCTAAAATACAGTGCTTGCCTCTAACATGAGCTGTTTAGTTGTCCAGACACCCAAGGAACAGAAAATTCAGAAATGGAGATACGTAAAAAATGGCCTTTTCCATGGGAGAGGGGAGGAGTGGGGCAGCCAGGGGACCTGGCTCTGACCTTCCCCTCTCACAAGGAGGAGAAAAATCCTTGCCCACTGGGCCTTGGTAAATGAGTTCAGGTTTAAATATGTGCTTAGGATAGAAACAGTCCTATACCAAGAAGTTTGAACTATAAACAAGATTATAATCATCCCAAAATATTTTATAGAAACACTACAGAAATCTTCCTTGTATTCAACCTTGATGACTCTTCATCCTTCGAAAGCTAAAGCYTCCTGTCAGAAGTCTGTAATAGAAGTTATGAATTATTTCATACCAYGGAATTATCACTTAATTAAATATTAGGTATAATGAAAAATGTTTGCAGCCAACTTGGCCTTTTTGATGGAAAGGTCAACATGCAAGTGATGAACAGATGATTAAAACACTACTCCCACATATCATAAACATAAATAAATAAATAAAATCTGTAAGGCTGTCATGTCTGTAGGAGATGCAGGTTTCCACACAACCACGGCCACATTTTGTCCCCACAGAATCAGCAATGTTTTGATGAAGCATCGTACCTTAGCTGGTGTTCTCTCAGGTTAGACAGGGCTTCCATTCCATGTAGGTAAGAATAGACAATCTCCAAATCCTACAAATAAACAGAAAATACTTATTAGAATCCTGAAATTGCTGCAAGTTGTTAATATGCTGCTTACGTTCTCCTAGTACAATACAACACGAACGTTTGAAATCACACATTTACAAGAGTTAAATACAAGATGAAAATCTTGGATTATATTCTATAGGGGCAAGAACGATGCTATCCATGCCATAAAATACCAATACAGAAAACCTTTAGACTTGGGCTGTCTTTCCTCGGGTTCAGTAACCAAGATGGGTGCAGAACTCCAGCACTATGCAGCCGCTACAGTCCTGCTCCCCAGCGCCAACATACTTCAAACTCCATTTATTTTGCCAAGCAAGCTCGTGGGAAGTCATCTGTGTATGTTCAGGGGAAAAGAAATCTGATAAAATTCCCACGAAAAAAAAAAAAAAAAGAAAAAGAAAAGAAAAAAATCCAAAATTATATCCTCTGCAAACAGAGTAGCTAAATTACAAAATATACATTCAAATGACAAATAAAAATGCTTCCCACAAGCAGGAAATGACTACAATAACAATAAGAAAAACAAACACAATCCCAGTTACGCGGCAAAGTGTAGAAGTCATGATGACAACCCCACCCAGACAATTGCTGGGGACCTCAGGCACCCTGCTCAGAAAGCGACAMGCACGCAAAGACACAAAACGCCCCCAGGACTGGGGCAGGTGTGCAGGGTGCCCAGCGCCAGGGTTACAGGGAAGAGCCTGCTGGAAGGCGCTACCTTCAACCAGCCTGTCCAGGCACTGGGCTGGCGCTGGGGCTGCTCTCGAGCGGCACCGGGTCCACGGGCGACAAAAGGGCTCACTGGAGAGTCATCAAGGACACTGACCTACTCTGCAGGTGCAACGGTGGGCGCCGGGCACCTTACATCAGCTATATCAGGCCCTGGGCACCTTGTATCAGCTATATGGGACACGCGGCTCCTCATGGAGCACTGCAGCCCCGCACCTCTCCAGAGCGGGAAACAGCTCCCTCTAGCACTCAAAGTTTGGGAGTGAAATCTAAGCAGCAAATTCCGGCATCATTCCTTTCCTGAAATTCCCAAAGCTGCAAAATATAGAAGGCTAGGGCAGAAAAAAAMCCACTTTCCACTTACTCCAGAAAACCCTCTATTTTTTTTTAAAAAAAGAGCAAAGATTAACATATTTGTTATTGAGCATAAATGCTTTATAGCCATTTTAAATTTTCAAATTCTTGAATTAAGAGCAAGATGCTGTAATGCAAGAATTCTGCAAAAATATTTGCACCATCCTTAATAGACTCAGCTTGAAACAGTGAAGCTAGAAGGGATCTTTCACCAAAGGCCAGCACACGACCTACGCAATTTCCAGGGATGGCTTTCTAGACCTCTCCCCAGCAGCTAAGGGAATCCCAGTTCCTGGGAACAGAACTTTGTCCTTCAAAAGCWACACGATTCCTCTTGATGGTCTAAGCAGGAGAGCTGAGCAAGCCCTTACAAGGCGTGACCGAGTTCCCCCATCCCTGGCTTCGGCGTTTGGGATAGCGGCGCTCCCAAGAGCTGCTCCAGCATCAATCCACAGGGCAGGCGGGCGCCAGGAGCCTGACGCGCTTCTCTGCCCTTTTATTTTCCATGATATTTTCATCCGAGCTACCACAAGGTGGCAGGCGGAGCCACCACTAGCTCAGGGACAACTTCCTCTGCACCCACTTTATCCTTTCCCTTTAAACATAACCCGTCCTTTCCAGCACTTCATGGAAGCCAGAAGGAGCAAAGCTAATTTTAACTGCTGTAGCTGATAAAACACTCCGCTACCATAAGGCCTATCAATAAAAGAGGCACGGGGAGCTACTAAGAGCTTGCTTCACGTGTCGCTATTTCTCAGGGCGTTTCAGGGTGTCCACGGGCCCAACGTAAAGACTCTCGCTCTTGGTGCCTAACACAGCCCGGCTTCAATCAGCTCTGCAAAAACACATCTGTCTGCAACTTCACATGGGCTCTCAATGGCAATGAAAAGTCTGCCTGCGACTACGCACAGGTCTTTCTACTTGTTTTGCTCTGGTTTCAACCATTTCAGCCACATTTGCTCATGTCTCCAAGMGTGGTTTACAAGTGCAGCAGCTTTCCCTGTCCTGCAGTAGCTTCCTTTAACGTTACTTTGAAGGGCAAGAGCACAATACAAGCTAATTCCTTAACTCGCTGCCTTCAACAAAAGCTTCTCAAGCACCAAGTGCTCAACACCACCGTCTCTCCCGCCAGCTTCACGGCTGCCCTTCCCGGCAAGGGCCCTTGGAGCAAGAGCGATGAGGCCACATTTTTCTTCCTAGGAAGGATAACAAGTCCGGTCTGAGCCAATGTTGCTGCCGTGCTGGCGCTGCGTCCTTGGCGCTGCGTGATCCCGGCCTTTACCGTTCACTGCTGGCGTGCAGCACCAGGGCTCCCGTGCTCCTTAGCTGCGCCAAGCAAATTCACCTCCCGCCATTTCTTGGATCACTCATTTAGCCCTTGCCTAGCTGCCCGCACTGGCTCAGGAGGGCCCAAGCGGTGCCAGCGCCGCCACAAGGCAGGCGGCAGGGCTCAGGAACGTCAGTCCACCCGGCTGCGGCGACAGCAGCTCCGTGAGGCCAGGACATAAACTCCGTGGCTGGTTTAGCCGAAGCAGCCACGTCTCGCCTCTCACTAACCCCCTTGCCCCTTGCCAGAACTCCGGCGTGCACGGCAGGGGCCTCGGCCTGCTCCGGATCCGCCTGTGGCCACGAACCATCCCGCCYGAGGGGCCCGCGGCAGCTCCTCATGGGACACGAGCCGGCTCCGGCAGCGCCTGCCCGGGGGCTGCAGCCGACACCAACCGTGGGGCGAACGGGGCCCTCGGGAAGCTCCTTGGGGCGCCGCAGCCAGCAAAGCCGCCTCCAAATCCCGCAGCCGGAGGGCAGGTCCCCTCTTCCAAACACTGCAGTGCCAGAAACCAGGACAAAACCCATCCACACACACCGTGACAAGAACAGGAAGGCAGCGCGGCCGATACCAACACCTTGCCGTGCCCACAGGGAATGCGGGGTTCCGCCCCCGGATTCCCAGCAGASGGAAAACACAACCCGGCGAGCTCCTAACTGCGGAGCAGGAGCATGCCTGGGGTGCATTAGGGAGCCAGACCAAAACCCACTGCTTGAGGGGGTTAAAATGAGATATTTATCACGTAATGCAAAGTCTGACATTTTATTTTGGTCTTTTACGTCAAGATGTTTTGAGGGGAGGAGAGGGAGAGCAGGGCGGGCTGCCAGAACCCAAGCTGAAATAGCACAATTGAAGATAAATTACTTAATCTGTTACTTTTTAACTCAGCTGAAGGCTATGGGGGTATTTGTGCTGCAAGCCACCCTGTGTGCAGTGTAAAAGAGTAAAGCCAAAGCTAGGGAAGGTTTTCCGATCTGATAAGCCGGGAACCAGACGGAAATGAACGAAATGAGTAACAGCGGCAGGAGCGTCGCACGTGCCGGGCAGCCCGAGCTGGGGCTCCTTGCCCGCTCCCAGCGGAGCGGCGGCACCTGCAGCCAGGCACATTGCAGGACAGGTGGATCCAGGGGGATGCAARGGGAGCCAGGCAGCGGAGCGGCTGGACGCAGCCGGGAGCAAGGGAAGGAATCCTGGCAGGAGCAGGTCCGGCTGCCGCCCGCCCCTCCAGCCTCCCCTCGCCTGCSCCGGCCTGTCCTGCCATCAACAGCCTCTCACAGGCAGGGACCCGGCTTCCTCCAGAGCTTTGGGATAAAAAACTCCTGTCCCAGGATATTTGGATACATTTTGTTTTTTTTTTTTTTTTTTGAAAATATCTTACGATCCATATTCAAAGCAGGTGACAAAACTGCAGAATTGGACTGGGATTAAAAGGCAACTCTCAAAAACTCAGCATCCACTAAACCCATCTCTTTTAGAAGTTGAACCGACCGCGTTAACTTCTGTAAACTCTCAGCATCTTAAACCCACATCGGATTTGTCCCACCTCACACACACCATGATGSTATTTCAGGAGACGTGTGTGACACAACTTGATTCCACAGGAATCGGCATCACTGAGCTTGGGAATGAGCCGCTAAGGCCCTGCGCAGAGCGGCAACGCAGCGCGAGCCGTCACCGCCTCCACTGCAAGGAAAGGGAACAGGAAAATCCAAGGGACCTGGAGGCTTGTTGACACACAAAAATTGTCAGAATTAGCTCCACTGAGGGCAGGAGGACTTTTGTTCTGAGTTACAACGGAAATTTCGGATTAGAAACAGGAGGAACAGAGGCAGTTTTAATCTGGAGCTGCAGCACCCACATATGACACTCATCAGGAACAACTCCAAAACCCTGTAAATATTACGAAGAAATCCCGTTTTCCTGGTTTCCCTTAACGGGGAGTTGTCCCAGTACAGAATAAAAATAGGCTTCTCTGAAGTCTGCAACTGGATTACTACCTCTAAATGACCGAGTCTGGAGAAATACCACTGGATCATGGCAAACAACTGTGGAGAAACAAGATTTTYCTGCCTTCCAGTGTCTTGTTCGAGAATTTTGAGAATATGCTTCACTGGAAAAAAAAAATCACCAGAAGTCTTTTGTTATTATTATTTTCCTCATGGAAATTGGGTTAAAAAATCTCCACTTGCACACAGTGCCTCTACAGATTTACATGCAATAACGCAAACAGCTCTTGTTGGGGGMGTTTCAATCTTGCCAGCACAACCTGCTCTAAGGGCTCCCCCTGCCCCTCCCAGGCAAACAGGTTTTTATTATCAGTTCAAAATTAGTACAATTGATTCAGCACATCCCACTGCTCATAATGCTTTTGGTGGAATAAAGCCCCAAAATCAAGACATTCGTGATTATAATCATCCTGTGAGCTGGGGATGAACGCAGAAGGGTTAGATGGGAAATTAAAGCCTGCCATCTCATGGAAATCACGGAAAAAACTAATGAGCAGAGGAAATTACAGGGTGGCGCCGGGCATTTCTTGTCGGCTTTCAAGACTCTCCCAAGTCAGACAATTAAA